ATACTACAATGAAATAGAAACAAACAACTAAAACTGACAGTAACACAAGTTACATGAGAAAAATATCGTAATTTTTGATCATTTAGTCATCTGAAATGAATAGAACTTCTCAGAACCTTAATGTTCGTACAAAACTAAACATTACACTTGAAATAGTAGTTAATATACATATGCGAGAATGAATTCCGAATACATATATTTCATACAATCTTCCTTCTAGACAGACAATCAGGGAGAAGAAGCAAAGTAAACGGAGGGGAGAGAACGAAACGAAACGATGGAAAGTGACGTACAGTAAAGATGGCGTATGAGCCAACTCGATTTAATCAAGCATGATTCGATATTTATAGTCAAACGAAAATAAGTTACATACACGTAATAAGTAAAGTAAGTAATTTACACATATACAATCATGTAAAAAGCAGTCAGAGTTAATAAGCGAATAAGTGACAAGGTAAAAATGTAGCTTGAGAAGAATGAATAAATTGGCCTGTTCAGAAGCTAGAATAATCTACATGAGCTTGATATGTTACCAACCCCTACGAACTTTACTAACATATTATTGTTGCTTTCTTGAACTTGGATTTATGATCAATAACTGCTAGGGTTGAAGCTATCATGATTTTTTGTCGTGGTGTCCAGTCGAGATTAACTATGAACACCGCTACCAAGAAACACGTGCCAAATAAATCAGAAGGCGTAGGCTGAACGTAACCAAAGAAACCTATAAAATCTCCGAGAAGCCAAATATCAGAAGACAATTAATGAACCAAATCGAGATATATATTTGCTGGCGATCTCGTGGTATCGAAAGGATACCGAGATCGTGCCAGGATACAAGCTTGGTTACAGAACGTAACCGAATTCGTGCGAAGTTATAATCAAAGTGTGAGTATAAGAATGGAAGCACAAAGTAGCTGTCATTAACACAGTTAAACAAAAGCACATTAAAACAAACACTGGTACGGTTGGTTATAATAAGAATTGTTTCTATTAAACCAGTCGTGTTCTCGTGATAAACGGTGAGTCACTACAAGTTCACTTAATCTGCGAACGAGAACAAAGACTCAGTGACCAAAGACCAGTAAGCTAGCTATTTGATGCGTCCCATCCCCACTAACTAGAGGGAGAAGTCCAAGCTTGGAATGGGCAAGTATATTCTGCAAACAGCCAGAAACGAGCGATAACGACAAAAATTATTCAAAACGTATATATACAGTACAAAACCGTCCTTGAGGAGAGTTACTAAATAGCATACTAAAAGACGAAACGGGCCAATATCATTTAAGATACTTCCCAGTGGGAAATACTACATGAAGGTGACAAGAGCACCTTTGGTGCGAAAACAAAGAAATTCAGATTTTCTAAATAAAACTACTACAGGTCCTTTCCCAAGTGAGTTCTGGGGATCTAACGTCTCCAACAATAACATTGAGTCAAACTTTGTCAACTGGAATTCTTACTGTTAAATAACATAAAATGTTCGATATCTCATAAAGTTAGTAGTGAACTGATTATGATAATTTGGAGAATATCAAATTTGTTCTTCTTTTTGAAGCAGCATCATTTTATGTGTAGCACATATATTTCACGAAATACTTCAAAAAGGCAGTGATTAATCTTTACTCATTTCATTCTACTTTGTACATATTGAATAGTTAAAACATTGATTTTATGAATAGTTCGAATGAAAAATCTGCGTAAAATACATTTTCTTGTTTAGTCAAATTAGCCAAAGTTTATTTAATGATAAATACTAGATCATAATTATCATTTGCACTTAGGTGCTTCACGCTTATGATAATTTAGATCGTGAATTAACTTAAATTAATCATTGACATGATTAAAAAAATATAAACTAAGTGAAAATGAATGTCAACAAAACTCAGAATATTTTGATTACAATTTATTGGCAGTAATCCGTTGACTTTTTGTGGCATGGGAACTGAATCCAGTTTGATCGTTTCTGATTGCTAATGAGATATACATATCACTAATCCTCGTATAAAATTATCGCGTTAGTCGATAACGGAACTAAACAAGTCACATACGAGAATGAATTTCGAATATATATATATTTTGTACACTGATTGATCTGGACAGATAATCAAAGGAACGAAGCGAAAAGAGAAGACAGTGAAACAAAATGATTCGCGGTGGAGGAGGCGTGTAAGCCAACTCCAATTAATCAAGAGTTAATCAATATTTATAGTCACACAAAAATAAGCTACAGATATGTGATTAATAGAGTAAGATGTACACAAGCATACGCCCATATTATAAAAACAGTAAGGGTTGATAAGTGAATAATTAACAAGGTCAAAACGTGACTCCAGAAGAATGGATAAATTGGCCTGTCCAGAAGCTAGCTAGAACAAGCTATATGGGCTTAACATACTAACGACACTACAGACTAAACCCGAGTTAGTTAATGCTGACGTATAAACTTGTTGATAAACAATTGATGGTAGTTTGAAAATACAACCTCTCTAATTTGATGTGTTTAAAAGCAATGCTTAACAGACAGTAGTTTGTATACTACTGATTATAAAACTACAGAGTTTGTAAGGCAGTGTGCTATAGTGAATCTGGACCGTTACTAGTGATAAAAAGCACGACATGATTTTTTTTCCTATTTGGATCTGATTAACAGGAGGTATCTGAATCCCAAAGTTGAGACATCGTTTTACTAAAATATGCACAATCGTAGATTGTAAAGAATTTACTGACGATCACAAAATCTTGTCAAAGTTCAGTTACTATTGATGAAATTTAGTCAGTAAACGTTTTAACCTTCACGTCGATAAGGTGCAAAGCCGTTTTAAAAACATCACTAGTAATAAACTCCACTAATCATAAAAAACACTAATTCTCTCAACTTGTTTACTTTCAGATTTCATTGAAAGTAAAAACAATTTTTCACTTAAGTTATCTATGTCATCAGTGTCCTATCCAATCTAAAATGTGATTATCCTAAGCTGACAGGAACTCTGAAGATATTTTGAAATACACTGTTCATGTATAATGATAAATAAAAGACATCAATCTAACTATGTTGAGATAGGATAGTGATTGAAGATAGTCGACGGGAAACCCTGGATCTAGGTTTCGTGCTACTTGGCACTTGTCAGCAAAGTGTAACTGTCATCTTATGGGAATTGATGCTCCCTGACAGACTCGATCCTGTATCACCCAGTATCACAATCGGAGACTTTAACACTGAGTTATCCGGACCACGACTGACGTCCTGTAGCACTGGGATGTATTTACAATTGATTGATCAGTGGGAGGGACCTGACACACATGACATTGATCACTTTTTCATTCAAACAAATGAAAATTCAGAAGCAAACTAAATTTATTTGAGTTACGCGTATTTTGTAAACTCATCGTTTTGTAGTGATAGAGAAGTTATCATACTCTAGAATTGCAGTATGCAGGAGTAAAGCTTCTGTGTGTGAAAGCATGTCATGCTACTGACTAGTGTGTAGACAGAAACGGATTTCGGTAGTAAGCTGACACACGACTGGCAACGAATTAATTATTGCAATATCCCATTCCTCAACGGACACTCCGGTCACACAGGAATAAAACGCGGAAATCAAAAGACATCAAGACTTAGCCTGACATTTGATGGATTATTATTTGGAAAAGATAATTTCACTTCAATACAAATATACAAATTAGGCGATTTTCACCGGTGTACAGTAGTGATATGATATGGTATGTGAAATGTTAAAAAGACAGTTGCACAAATGATTGATTTCGGAAGCCAACTATTCCTCATGCTGTTCTGTACGGTGAGCGTCCAACGTAATTGCCGCTGAAATCGGGTAAGAAAAATAAAACGTTAGTAAGTTCATTAAGACGATGAGACAAATTTCATCAGTGATTTTCTCATGTTCATTTATTATTATCATTGAAGTTGGAACATCGACACGTATTCACACTCGTTACAATGAAAATCAACCATTGTTGATGATATTCATGAAACTACTTGTGGATATCAGTAGTCAGATTACACGTAGAAATTTGAAAGGAGATATTGATCATGTCAAAGTCTGTGTAATACTAGTAATGAAAAATCCATTCTGATATTCATGCGAATTCAAGTGTTTGTAAAATATAATGAAATTCATATTCAAAAGAGTTGGTTTTGTTCACAACGAGTATATTGTTGATGATCACTGATTCATCGTCCATTCCGTTACTATTCGGTTACACGGCAAGCGTAACTACAACAGATGAAATGTGATTTACGTTGAATTAAACATTCAACAGTGATCTATATTGATCGTCACGAAAGTAGGCATTAGTTGTCACGGAGTTAAAAATGCCAGGCAATAATTTTCAGGATAGCAAGTGTTTATTTAAGTAGCAACGAGAGTTTGAGCTGATGAATAGAAAATAGAGCGTATCAGTAATATTGGTAAACAACAGCCGAATTGAACTCCACTACAAACAACATCCGATCATGAAGAAAGAATGCAGAACGGTGTCATAATGGAAGAGCATGTCACAAATCATTTAAGTAAATGAAAATGATCTTATTAATGACTTACCCGGGACCATAGTTACACACGATGCTGAGTCCGTATGGGAAATTCGGACAGTTCGTGACACCACATCCAACATCCGTAGTGTCTTCCCAGACAAGCTGAAATGAACCAAGTGACAGTGAGCTATTGAATAGTGTATTGGAAGAGGACACATTCATATAAATCGTTCACTTAAATCAACAACAGTCAAAGATCACAACGATGTGGAAGACGTGATTCGTTGGGCAGAGTGTAGACCATTCTAACACAGACAAGAAGCGTGCTAACGAGGACTGGAACATTTCCAATTTGTGTGTATGTGACAACGGATAGTTGGATACTACACGTAGCCATGTTAGACGGTTTCATGAATCGACCACAATATCACTAGTCAGTGTCTATACAACTTTGTCTGAAGTAGTTATTTTAACAAGAATGCTTTGTAATCGTTCTAATGCTTACCTGAGTATAATGACCACACTGACCCATACGACATGTTCTCGTGTAGAAGTCGTAATTCTTGTATTCATCCAACCATAATTGGAATCCGCTTGATAGAAATGAACAAACAATAGCAATCAATCGAAACATGAATCCGAACATTTGGAAAAATGAACAGTCAATCACAAGAGTATTATCACATGTTTAGTTGAGGAGGAGAAGAAGGATCTCACTGCACAGGTGTAGGTGTGAACGTCGATGAATATCACGAAGAAACCACACACTGATTGACTGTGGTGATGCCCATCGACTGTGAATATCTGATTAAGTAATAATGGTAAATGAGATATTTGACTATTAACAGTTTCTCGATTGCACACAGATGTGGGTGCATTTTCGACCAGCATGTGAACATCTGGATGCGAGATGCAGCCTATCTCAACACACTAACCACATCATTGCAGTGTCTAGTTGAAGTGAATTTTCGAAGAGTTGAACTGAGTGACATCGGGCTGTGGTTACACTCGTTACAATCAGTTCAAGATTCCGATGCAACCACTTGTTGAGTCTCACACTAATCACTTCTGTTCATCTCACAATCGTCCTCAATATTTCCTCACTCATCTATCATTGACAAACAGACCTTCCGAACCACATCGTCGAGTGTGGAGTGACAGGTGGCATGGTTCACAAATGTGTGTTCCTAAACTTTTGTGGTATTTGGAGTGACGTTTCGTAGTTGGTTTGCATCGAGTATGCGTTCACAGATTGGCTAGAAAGCAACAGTCTGAAAAGAAGTAGGTGTGCATCTGATGACGGCGTATGTCGATTAGATCGATATAACACTTCTGCGAATGCAGACCACATGCTTGCAAGTCTACGAGTTGAACAAATTCATATATTTAACACAATGCACATGACACTTACGTGTTTATGTCTTTCGCACCGGCCCAATTCTGTCCAACATATTGGAATGCCGGTATTTTACGATCATCATTTGTATCATGTCCAACACGACATTGATCAGACAGAATTTGTGCTTTCGCTTCCAATTCCACATTCCATTTCTGTAAACATGTGGTTAATCAATGAGCAAATCAAACGGTTAATTGATCAATTAATAATGTAACTATTGCTTTATTTACTTAAAATCGATGATGTGAATGAAGTGGTATCGAATGTCACTCGTTGTCATCAGTGCCGTCACGTCGACGTGATATAATTAGGAGATTTCTATTTTTTCACTAGTTAGTCAGAACCTGCGAAAAATTCTTCATCTCTGATGAATTCACGCGAACCATGTGAACGAAGTTCGTTCGCCTATACGCACTATTCTCATCAAACTACACATCACTAACCACACTCACTCAAAACAAACAAATGCACAGTTAAGAACACTGTCTACAATCACATAATGATTTCAACCAGTGAGCTATCTATTCTACAACACATTACACTAATAACCTCATTTGAGTGGCCAAGAAACTGCTACCTGCAGTCAGCCACAATCAACCAATCAACCGAACAACTTCTCCCTCCCTCCTTCTCTCTCTCTCTCTCTCTCGCATCATCACACCATGTTCACAGTGAGACCAGCTGAAACGTACACTGAAATCAATTTGTCTCAATCAAAACATAATTGCGCTGAACACTCAAGTTAAACAATCATTCTTCTTACCAGTGGTTTTATGGAGACTGCTATCGGTTGCCCAACAAGCTGACCATATTGAACAGATTGTCTTGCCTTATTGTGAAGAGCTAACAACTCATTCCTCATCGCATCATCCAACTGCGCATGAACACAGCAACAGACAAGTGAACACAGCAACAACACGACTGATGAAAACTCGGAATTAGAAGACATTTCGATGAGACCAGAATTTCACTGTCTGTCTGACTTACGAACAATCACTTGTTGGCTTTCACATATATATACACACCATGGGATCAGGTTAATCAACATAAGTCATGGTGATTAAACCAACCACTCATAAGTGTCAATTTGTCTTATTAATGTAGGATTATATTTGTGCAGAATAATAATCAGTTGTGTAATCAGTTATGAATGAGTAGGGCTAAAGGGTGGTGTCTACACAAGATGGTGGTATTGAGAAAATTTTCATTGAAGTTTACTCACAGCGTTTTTACACTGTGAGTGGAAATGACTATCGGTTTGTGGGATTATGATTCACGAGTGACTCATGCTTCTGGAACAAATACAACAACGTCTGATAATTCCACGAAATTGTAATCAGATTTTGTTATATTGTAATTAAGGCTGCATAGTGTGTGAGACGAGCATTTGTGTGGAGTGACGTGTTCTGTCGTTTGTAGTCGATATCAGGTGATAACATGTGTAGTTTGCGTTGATGACTGCTGACTGACTCGTCTAGTTCGATGCATGGATCGTGATACGATTTGAGAGCCTCACCAACCACCTTTCTCTCAGTGATGTCGATCGAATGAGACGTGTTGAAGTGAATTGTTATCCTCGTGAATGAATGGAGAGTGAAATCGATGAACACGATTGCGTGTGAACATGAGATCGTCCCCATGCATATGGTAGTTTAGGGAATGAGTTGTGATTCAACTTCCCTTTGCTAGTGTTCGTTTCATATGTTATAAATTTCCGATGAGATGTGGCATCGGAATTCGATGATGATTTCCACTGAACATGTGTTGATTGCAGTACGTGTTGCAGATATTGCTTTCAGACATTTTGATTGTTGAGCGATTGCAAACTGAAGATATGAATTAGTGATACGGAAGTGATTTCCTTTCTCATTGCACCATCTTGTTTAATCGATAATTCACTTTGTAATAACTTACGTTTTTGATATATACCTAATGTTCATTCGTCACGTTCATATGCATAAACCAGATTCTCAAATTTTCTCATATTTAAACCTAATAACATTTTCACTGCAATAATTTCTAAGCACTGAACTTGAGACTCTTTGAAATATGCTCATACATATTCGTTATACTTCCGTTTCTTCGACATCACAAATCATTACTGAACACAGCCTACCGTACGTGCCCTATTATACTAAAGGATAAATGAACTATGAAAGATCTATTACACCTGGCTTTCACAGTATTCACTGTTATTCATTGTAATATGTTTTTTGCAGGCAATTTTGTGCCACAAATTAAAGTTATATTTCTATACAATTATTGAGTTGCTACTAACCACATGCTGACATTTTTACTTACATTCTCACAGGTATCCCTAAAGTGTCACTAAATGTACTCAAAGTATTTCTCTCTTCGTTGCATATTTACACACGTTCTCAGAATACCCCTTGAGCGTAGAAGTTAGTGTTCAGTCTGAAGATACGTTAGGTTCTGGGAAAGCAGAGTTATATAACTCTAAGCCGACGACTCAGTAATCGCACGAAACCCAATTACATTGATTTATCTGAACAATCGATAATAAACAGCAACAATACAAGCATAATATCAAGGCGGTCTGAAAGTAGAGACCAAACGTTGATAGCTCAAGGTTTCGGGTGGCTTATCCGAATAGGTAATTTTCGAAAACGGGTGTTTCTAAATCAATATCGAATTTTTTACAGGGCAGCCTTGTACGTGTCAACAATGCTACACACATATGATATTTTCTGACTTTCTAACGAATTACTATTTCCATTTTTACATTTGTCAAATCAAACACAGATTTTGCCTTGTCAGTTGCGTACTAATGGACCTAAACGGGCCTTATATATGTATGTATGGTAGTAATAATGTCTATCCTCTTCCTGTACTTTTTACATGACTTATAATAGCTGTCATACCATTATTATCTGAGTTCGTAAACTACTGACCTCAAAAACTTCATGTAATTGACGCATCTTCCATTTGCTTGCCTGACGTTCATCATTAGTACATCCAATGTACGTATCCGAAACACAATACTTGGCACACTTTTGTTATCTACGTTGTATAAACGTCATTTCTCTACAGACTTCACATGAAGTAAACAGGATTAACTTTTACTTGGCATTATTATTATTCAGTTATTATGAAGTTAACCACTGGTATTAAAAACGAATTCACAAAGTCGAAATACAGAGAAAAGCTCACCTTTCTTCGTAAGAACAATGAGAGGCTTGACTGCTTACAGTAATTCCCTACCGAACACTGATGAAGGAACCTTAACGGCTTTTGTGCTAGCAACTGAGAACCGGTATCCAGAACAGCGTCCGGAAACTTATCCTTCGAGTGCTGAATCAGAAGATAGTCGACCACAGAGGATATTGTCATATTGATAATAATTACAAACTACCACCAATCCTGTGCGTTAATCATGCTGTGAAGGGATTTTCAGCGTTTTCTTTCCGTGACAGTATGTATCCGATGTGTTTCACCTTAGCCACTATATATGTACGCACTAGTCAGTGAGATGCGGCGTAAATGAATAGACCAGCGTGGAAGAGTAGGCATCAGAAAACTGAACCTCTTTACGGAAGAACAATCATTGACAGCTTGAGCACTACAATTTGACGACAGAAGTGGTTGGTAATGAGTAGGGCAGCAGACTTTTAATCGTTATCGTCATTATAAAATTTTTAAACGATACGCGAACGACTGATATCTAAGACACTTATGATTTGCATTTTCGAACACTCACATATGGTGTAGCTATGTATAGCCACTGCAAAGATATCTGATATTCGATAGGCTAGTAATAAGCTATTGTAAATCAACTGGTTAATTTGATTTTAATTCTTCATGTAATAACACGATTCCGGTCCTGCGAAAATGACGATATGTATGCCAAGTGAGTGAATCCCCATTTGACCAATATTAATCCGTAGTATTATTGTGTTCAAACTGATGCTGTTTGAATTCTCTCGGCCTCTAGTAAAATCTTGGACATCTGTTCTTTTCTACAGATAAATCCGAAACATTATAGCTCGATTAGGTAAGAATCCAATCATAAAGATTATGGACATGAACTATACAAAACAGATCAAAGAATGACATCATCATGATATACCCAGGAGAGAATTATCTAAGAAAGTGTAGTGAAATCAAAATCTAGAGAACCTAAAGTAACTAAGCCTGTAAGTCATATAAATTAGTTTCAAGTTGAATACAAGGTGCACCTCTAACCACTTAACATGATTATATTACCGTTACACGGTAGTTTAATTCAATCGGCACAAAAAAGCCAAAGGAATTAATGTAGCCTCAGCACAATTCATTGGAAATTGAAACAAAATTTACATAGCGTCTAAAGAATAATCAATGAAACAATACACAAAAAACCAAACCTGTAAGTAGAATGAGTGGCAGTTTTGTCCGTATCCTAAGTATAAACCGAAGATGAATACATAGGTGTCACAAATAACTACTCTACGTTTAAGAGTGAGACAATGTGCTAACCTTACATGAAACGTGTAGGTAGAGGGAATTTCACACATTCACTCACGAATATTCAAAAACGCTCTTACAATTATCATATATCTAATTTCCTTGATGTGAGCACACTGGCTTAATACATGTAGAAGGAGCTGTGTGATGTAATTTTTTACGATTCATTGCTTTACGATGGTTCAAATCAACCCCTCTGAGACATCTCATTGAGTAACAGATTAATTTCAGTTTAATGAGCCATCATATTTACTTATCCGTAATGAAAAATTTCTGAAACAAAATAAATTTAGTTTAACCGAATATAATAGTCTGTCAAAAATGTTTTAAGACATATATATATATATATTGTAGCGGTAAATAAATCCCCAAAATTAATAGCCCTGTACGTTTTAGACATTGGATGCTGACCATATGTTTTAGTGGACTCATCTAGCTGAAGGCGCTCGGTCAGGCATCCGCACCTGATCACGTGTGGTAACGGAAATGATCAAACTTCATCATGAAGCAAGTGCTAACTTGGAATCCTGAAGGGAAATGGAAAGACAGAAAGCCAAAGAATACGCTGCGTCGAGAATCAGAAGCAGACACCGAAAGAGCGAATGGCAACTGGAAAGGACTTTCCAGGACAGAGTTGGATGGATAATGCTGGTAGGCAGCCTATGCTCCTCCACGAGTTGTAATAGGC